ATCTCCCCATGGATGATGGAATTTTCTCAGCCATGCAGGGACACTCACTGACCCATGAACAGGAGATAATGAATAATTAATGGCCCATTAACAGAAGATAATGAATAATGAATAGCCCATTAACAGAAGATATCTCCTGGAGGGAGGGTTAGGTGTGGAAGAGATGAAAAAATCTGCCCAGATAATGCCCCAGCTCTGACAGGTGGCAATACAATACACCCCTAGCTACACCTTTCAGCCTGAGACACCAGCCCACGGCAGGGCTTGGAATGAGATGAGCTTTCAGGCCTGCTCCAGCCCAAAGCATTGCATGATTTTATGTTCATTTCTTTCAGGGTTTGTCTCAGTCTATGGGCACAGAGTGTCTGAGATCGACGAGATGCTGGAGGTGCGGCAGATCACGGGAGTGTGCCCCCAGGCCGACATCCACTTCGACATTTTAACTGTGGAGGAGAACCTCTCCATCTTTGCTGCCATCAAGGGCATCCCTCAGAACGATTTGATACAAGAGGTAAACTCACCTGGGCACAGATGTTGTCTTACATGTCCGTTTTTAACCTGTAAATCAAAATATCCTTGAGGGATTTTCCTTTTGCAGGGAAATACTGCTTCGTGCTACAGTGGACAAAGAGGTACAGGCAGATATTTACACAAGGATAAACCTTTAATTTTTCCCAATATTAAAATACCCATGAAATGCTTTAAATCCAGGTCCAATTATAGACACCATTGAACTTTTTGTGTAGATTGTGCAGTTCAGATACAGAACACACTGGGAGCCAGCAGCAGTTAATGTGAATGTTAATTGTTAACAATCTGGTTTAAAAAATTTATAGGTTTGGTTTTTTAAACAAAAATGTATTCTTTGTGTTTTCAAGGTGCAGAAGGTGTTGCTGGATTTGGAGATGCAGCCCATCAGGGACAATCAAGCCAAAAAATTAAGTAGGGGGCAGAAGAGGAGGCTGTCAGTGGGAGTTGCTGTTCTTGGGAACCCCAAGGTGAGAGGGATGGAATTATTCTCAGCTTGGCATTGCTGATCCATGGAAGGCTTGGTCAAAACCAACTAATGTGCAAAATGCAGAAATTGTTCTTTTGAGCACCTTTTTAAATTTGTTTATGGTTTAATTGCAATCATTGCAACCTCTCAGCCTTTGTGCTTGAGGCTCGGGTAATGGCAGCAGCCTTGGATTTGATCTCTTTATCAAATAAACAGTGTGGCAAGTTTTGTGTGTAATTTCTGGCAGGTAGCGTTAATCCCCCAGCAGTGAAATTGTTGGATGCTTTCCCTCCAAAGCCATCCAGGAATTGGGAGCAAGAGCAGAGCCAGAAAGATCTTTTGTGTTGCAGCTCTGTAATTTCTGTCCTGTGAGGACAGGGGTATGAGAGATACGTGGTTTGAGATATGTGGCTTTGAGATCTGTGGTTAAAAATGATGTGTGTGACACTTCCTGGGGGTTTTGAAAGCAGGTGTGAGCATTTAACCACCCCTCAGTAGAAAGAGTGAATCCATGCCTAAGTTGTGATTGTACTACAGAATTCTATTGGAAGCAGAATAAAGCAGGCTGTGGCATTAATTTCCCACAGGATTTTTCCATTTGTCACAAGGGGAGCTGGATGCTTTCAAAGCACAGCGACAAAAGCTGCCTTGTTAGCCTGGGATGTTTCCTATTTGACAGGAATTAACTGGCAGGTTCCAAACAAACCCTTCTGGGTGTGCTGGGGAGGGGTTGCTGAGCTCAGGGGCCGTGGCTTTGAGGAGCCCTGGTGGTTTTTGCCCCCAGGTCCTGCTGCTGGACGAGCCCACGGCGGGGATGGATCCCTGCTCCCGCCACATCGTCTGGAACCTGCTGAGGAGCAGGAAGGCCAACCGTGTGACTGTGTTCAGCACCCACTTCATGGACGAGGCTGACATCCTGGCTGGTGAGCCCTGCCCCAGCCCAGCTTCAGCCCCCAGCCCTGGGACAGCCCTGCTGTGCAACCCAGAGCAGGGTTTGGCAGGAAATGATCCATTTTCTGCTTCCCGACTTTCCAGATCGTAAAGCTGTGATTTCCCAAGGGATGCTGAAATGCCTCGGCTCTTCCCTTTTCCTCAAGAGCAAGTGGGGCATTGGCTACCGCCTGAGGTAATTCTGTGCCCACTTTTGTACCTCTTAGGTGCCATCATGCATCATTTTTTTTACTATTTTGTGTTGGAATCTCTGAGAAAGCCCCTCCCCAGAAAGATCCTTTTATCCTTGAATTGATGCCCTGTGAAGGCTGACCTAGAACAGAGGCTGGGCAGAGTTAAAGTAGGGATTTATTCAAAGGATCTCCTCCATGGATCCACCTTGGGCAGCACCAGAGCCCAGCCAGGGCTGCACCCAAATGACCCAAAATGGTCCCAAAATGCACGAGCGCTCCCGGGGCTCTCCCTGGGATCAGTTCTGCTCCATTGGCACCTTGGAGTTCATTGTCCCATTCCAGCTCCAGCCCATCAGTCCCATCCTGCTTGTTTTTCTCTCTCCAGCCCACGCTGTTTGTGCTCCTGGGCTGAGGTTTGGATCATTTGTCCTTGGTGCCCAGCTGGAGCAGGAATTGTTTTGTCTCTGCTCTGTGCAGAGAGCTCAGCATCCCCTCATGTGGAGCCCAGACCCACACACTGAAGCAGCACAGGATGAGAAAAATATAAAAGCTGAACCCGAGGCATCAGAGTGGTCCAGCTGAATATTTGGTGCAGTGTCAGGAGCAAGCCAAGCTCTAAACCCCAATTCCTGCTGTGTTTTTCCAGCATGCACATCGATGCCTACTGCAACACAGAGGCCACCACCTCTCTGATCAGGCAGCACATCCCTGCAGCCAGCCTGATCCAGCAGAGCAGCGAGCAGCTCGTGTACAGCCTCCCTCTCAGGGACATGGACAAGTTTGCAGGTATTTCTGGGGATTTCTGCTGCAGGGATCAGTGATTGCAACAGAGGGTGTTTATTAAGCATGACTTTAGGATGGTGTTCTTGATAAAGTGTCAGTTGTGCCTTTGTGTTTTTATATTTATTATTATTTGGTGAGGAGTCAGGGAGGGTTTTCTCAAGTGAGTGAGGGTTTTCTCAGGTGAGTGAGGGTTTTGTTGCCTCTTCCAGTGGGGTGTGAGGGTTATGGGTGCCCAACAGCAAGGGCTGGGGAGATGCTTCTGTGCTGAGGAGTCCTTTCCACCTGAGCATCCCTGCAGAATCACCATCCTCTCACAGGGGGTTCCAAAAAGCAGGGCTGGCCTGCAGCAGGAAGCAGGAAAGCACCAAATCCTATAAAAATCCTACAAAAACCCTACAAAAATCCTACAAAACCCCTACAAACTCTTGGGAACTGCAAAGAGCATCCTGTGACTGCCTTGAAATTCCATGGAGAGAGGGAGCAGGGAGCAGAGGGGAGGATTTCACTAGATGGCAGCAATTATCTGAGCAGTCCTGGGCAGGGCTCCTTGCTTTCCTCCCAAAATAAATGGAATAAATCCTGTGCCCTTTGCATCCTGTGGGGAGCTAAGGGAGCATCAATATTGATGGGAACATGCAGCTGATATTCCATAATTATTTTTTTTTTCCCTGTTACATTGGAGTTAATGATTTATGAGCTTTGCAAAAAGGCTGAGATTGAATCAGTCCCCCCAGACTGTTTCAGGGAGAAGCTGAGGTTGGGAACACACCTTGTCAGCTGGGACAGGAGAAATTGTGGAGGGGTGAGGAGTATTGTCAAATATACAAGTGCTCCTCCCATTTTATACATTTGAATTACCCTTCAGCCTCACCTTGGCTCTGTAACTTCTTTTTTTTAAGTCCTTTTTTATAGGATTGACAAAAAAAACCCAGTAACATTTTTCACCCCAAGGTGCTGTGAAGTTCTCCTGCTCTGAACCTCACGTTGGTCTTCAAGCTCTGTGCCCTGTCCAGCATCTCCTGCCTAGTTAACCTGGCCTTAAACACCTTTATATAAATATATATAAATGTATATTTTTATAGATATAAAATGACTCAGTGGTTTCATTTGTAAGATCCTTTGTGCCTGGGCAGGGATTTAGGTAGGATGAGCTGTCCTGGGTATGATTTTTTCCAGGAGAGGTCACCTTGAAGCTGTCCTTTGAGCTCAGGATGCTGAGAGAGTTTTTAGAAGCACCACAACTACAGCAAAACCACATTTCCTGAGCACAATTTCATGCTGAAAGGAGCCTGTCCCACCTTGCTTCTCAAACCACAACCTTCTGGTTTATTTGCTCTTCCCACATTGCTGGTTTTGCCAGCGAGCAGGGGGGGTTGGGGGTGGGTGTGATGTGCCTGCAGTGCTCCTGGCAGGTGCTGGAGCAGTTTCAGAGCTGCCTCTGTCCCCAGGTTTGTTCTCGGACCTGGACACCCATTCCCACCTGGGCGTCATCACCTATGGCGTGTCCATGACCACGCTGGAGGACGTTTACCTGAAGCTGGAAGTGGAGGCAGAGATTGATCAAGCAGGTGGGAAGGGGCAGGGCTGGAGCTTGGCTCCCCTCAGCTTTGCTTTGCTCTCAGTTCCTGTGGGATTGGCACTGCCAGAAGGAGGGAGCAAGGAAAACGTCCCTCACAGGGTGCTGCTCCAGCACCTGGGCATCCTTTGGTCCTCACAATGTTCCAGGCTGTTAAAATATTCAAATACAATATTCTATATTCTATATTCGATATTACATATTCAGTATTAGAGATTCAGTATTTCATAGATATAAAATATATTATATATATAATAATATACAATATTGAATATTATATATATTATATATAATATTATACATTATGTAGTATTATATACTATATACTATATACTATATACTATATACTGTATACTATATACTATATTATATATATAATATATATCATATATCATATCATATATAACATATCATATATCCTATATCATATATAACATATACGATATGATGTATGATATATGATATATGATATATGATATATGATATATAATATGTAACATATAATATATTATATATTATATAAAATATATAATACATATAATACATATTATATAATATATTATATATCATACATCATATCATATATGTTATCTATTATATATTATATTATATATTATATATACAATATTCAATTACAAAATATACTTAAACTCATAAAGAAGAAGGACTAGCTTCTGCTTTAAAACATTTATTTTGTTTTATATATATTACTATTTTTAATATATATTACTATATTTTAAAACATATTACTATTTTTTAATATATATTACTATATTTTAAAGCCCCCAAACTCTTAAGTTTTTTACTCTGTCATATCACACACTTCTAATTGAACTACACACTCATAATCTTAGTGCTGTTAACTCATTTTGGAAGCTTTCTCCACGGCCTCAGGTCAAATGCAGTTTTCTCCTGGGGGTCAGAGTCTGCCAGCAGGGAAAGTCTAAAATTCTCAGCAGCCAGAACTCCAACACGTGGAGACCAGGAAAAAGCAGAGAATTGGGTGGGGAGAGATTCTGGAAGAATCCAGGGGAAAAGCTTTTTACTTGTTCATTTTTCATCCAACCAGCTCATATCTGACTGCTTGGCTTTACAGTTTACTTTGCTTTTAAAATGCTCTTTATTTTCCTAATGGAGTTTGCTTTCAAGAAATTATAAATGTGCAGGGTAAAATTAATTTTCAACCTTTTGTGTGAACAGTAGCTGCACTTAGCACTGAAGCAGCTCAGCTTGTCTCACTTTAAATTAACTTTCAGTCCAAATGAAAAGTTGGGACTGCTTTATATTACTCCAGAATGAGTCAGATTTATTTTGATGTCAATTTTGAGTGTTTTGAGCTGTTTTAATTGTTCTAGAGCTTTCTGTGTGATTCAGACTTATTAGTATGAGTAAATACATGTATTCTGTAACTGGTATGGAAAATACTCCCTAATTAGACTGACTGCACAGAGTTTCTGTGTGGCCTTAAGAGGATTTGACAGCTGAATCTGCAGGTGCTGGGTGATACAGGTGCACACACAGGCCCAGGGTATGAAACTGGGGCAAATCTGCACCTTTTGGTGGCAAAAGTTTGAATCAACAAGGCCCAAGGGTGATTTGGGCTGGATGGGGCTGCCCAGGGAGGTGCTGGACTGTCCCTGCAGGTGTTTGTGGGGGGATTTGGTGCCATGGCCTGCGTGCTCACAGGCTGGACTCCAGGATCCCAGAGGTCTTTTCCAGCCGTGTTGGTTCTGGGATGTAAAACACCAGGGTTTTCCAAGGAAATGTTCCTTTATGTCTGCTGTGTCAGCTTTAAATACCTGCCATGGGTGTGGTTGGGCTGGGTCAGGGTCACTGCCCTTGGGATAAATTGAGGGATGGGGATGGGATTGGATTGGGGATGGGATGGGATTGGGATTGGATAGATTTGGGATGGGAATGGGATTGGAATTGGGATGGGATGGGATTGGATTGGATTGGATTGGATTGGATTGGATTGGGATAGGGATGGGATTGGATTTGGGATGAGATTGGAATAAGGTGGGATGGGGTAGGATTGGGTTTAGGTGGGTATGGGATTGGTATGGGATGGGATTGGGATGGGATTGGGATGGGATTGGATTGGGGATGAGATTGGGATGGAGTTGGGATTGGGATGGGGGTGGGGGTGGGATTGGGATAGGGAGGAATGAGACTGGATGGGGATGGGATTGGGATAGGATGGGATGGGGATGGGATTGGGTTTAGATGGGGATGGGATGGGATAGAATTGGGATGGAATAGAATTGGGATGGGATGGGATTGAGATGGGGATAGGATTGGGATGGGATGGATGGGATGGGATGGGATGGGATGGGATGGGATGGGATGGGATGGGATGGGATGGGATGGGATGGGATGGGATGGGATGGGATGGGTGAGGTGGCTTCTACAACAGGAAAAGCACGGAGTCTCTGGCCCCTGGCTCCCCCTCCTGTCCCATTTCCACCCCAGCTCTCTCAGAGCACCAATTCCCTGGGTTTTCCCTGCCCTGTTTCAGATTACAGCGTGTTCCACTCGCAGCAAGCCCAGGAGGAGGTGGACACGAAATCCCTGGATGACATGGAGCAGAGCCTGCTGATGCTCTCTGAGGCCAAGGCACCAGCCACGAGCAACTCAGCCCTGTGGAAGAAGCAGGTTGCCACCATAGCCAAAGTGCACTTCCTCAGCCTGAAACGGGAGAACAAATGTGTCAGAGTTATGTGAGTACTGGGGCTCCTTCTTTGTGTGGGAGTCCCAAAACCTGGCTGAATGGCACCAGAGAAAGCACATCCTATCCTTCATTGCTCCCCATTTAAAAAATAGCAAGTGTGGAGCTGTAATTTCTGTCAATAAATGGTTTTTTGCAGGGTGAGGGAGATGGTTTTTTTAATAGCATGCACATAAAACTGGGTTGGCTTTCACTGAATTGTAACAAACCCCAAACTTTTATATCTTTCAGGTTGTTGCTTTTCCTCATTTTCCTTGTAGTTCAGATTTTGTTGTTTTTCATACACCACATCATCAAAAATGCTGTAGCTGCTATCAAACTCTCCCCAGATTTGTACTTGCTGAAGCCTGGAGAGAACTATCACAAGTACAGGAGTCGGCTCCTGCTGCAGAACTCCACAGGTAGGGCAGCAGCTCCTGCCTCCACCTCACTCCATTTCCCAAATTTTGGGGTTGGGAATGAACTTTTTCCTTGGAATTAACCCACATGAAGAGTTTTCAAGAGCCCAGGGGTGGTAAACTGTCAGTGTGTGCCATGGGGTTTGGTTTGGAGATCCTCCTCCCATCTCCATGACTTTGTTCTTGCTGTGTCAGAAGATGATTGAGGTGAAAGAAGTGGCCAGAAACATTGAAACAAATCAACATTAAAATCCTGCTGGAGCACATCTGGGAAAATCCCTTTTTGTTTCAACTGAGGATGTTTTAAAAGTGCCCATCAGGAGCCCAGGCAGCAGAAACCAGCACCTGTTGGAGCTGTGCATTGATAATTCTGTGTAAAATACTCCAGGCTGCTGCTGAGGAGGGATTTAAAAGGCAGAGATGTGGCACTCAGGGACGTGGCTTAGAGGTGGGGAGTGCCTGGATTTCAGAATTCACAGAGTCACCAGGTTGGAAGAGACCTCCAAGATCATCGAGTCCAGCCCAGCCCCAGCACCCCAACCAAACCCTGGCACCCAGTGCCACATCCAGGCTTTGTTAAACACACCCAGGGGTGGTGACTGCACCACCTCCCCGGGCAGCCACTGCAGAACTTTATCTCCTTTTTGTAAAACACTTTTTCCTGATATCCAGCCTGTATTTCCCTTGGTGCAGCCTGAGGCTGTGACCTCTGGTTCTGTCAGTTCCTGGAGAAAGAGCCCAGCCCCACCTGAGCACAGCCACCTTCCAGGTACCTTCAACTCACCCCTGAGCCTCCTTTTCTCCAGGCTGAGCACTCCCAGTCCCTCAGTGGCTCCTCACAGGGTTTGTGTTCCCAGCCCCTCGTTGCCTCCTCTGGACACGCTCCAGCCCCTCCCTGTCCTTCCCAAACTGAGGGCCCAGAACTGGGCACAGCCCTCGAGGTGTGCCCTGACCAGTGCTGAGCACAGGGGAGGAATTGATTTGATGATCCCGAAGGTTTCTTCCATTTTAAATGATTCCACGTTGTTTTCTCTCCCCAGAGTCGGATATCAGTGACATTGTGCACTCCCTGGGGAGCATGAACATCCTCTGGGAGATGTTCAATGACAGTGACTATGTCTCAGTGGCACCTCACAGTGCAGCTCTGAATGTCTTTGCCCTCCAGTCCAGGCAGGTAAGGCACACACTGGCTGGGCTGTGCCCAAATTGCAGCTGCTGGGGCTGGTTTGTGAAATTCCCACCTGAAAAGCAGCTCAGGAGTCACGGAATCAAATAATATCATATAATATTGCTTACAGGAGAGGCTGCAAAGAGGAAAGAGTGGGAATATTAGCAAAACAAATGTTCTTCCATAATTATATAATTATATAATTACAATTACAGTAAGCCAATCAAACTGTGATCACCTTTTCTTCCCCACAAGGACACAGAAAGTCAGGAGAAATATTCTGCTTCACAGGACACCTGGCAGAGGAATTTGTTTATGATTTTTTTATTTATTTATTCTGACTGAATTACAGTTTGACAGAAATATAATTCCACAGTGCTCTCATGTGTAAAGAAAAATCAGTTTCTTGGGCTATACATGTTCACAGTAACAGGAAGATCTGAACTTTGGGATCATATTTAATCCCCAGCAAAGGAGCTGCTTTACAATGTGCCAGCTCTGGCTCTTGTCCCCATTTTTACTCCCTGATGCTGCTGCCAGCAGTGTGACAGTGCAGCTCCTGCACATCTTTGCCTGTCTGGTTTTAAACCCATTAGCAGGATCATCCCCGAGCAGCTCTCGTGTGTTTTGTTTCCCACACTGTACTTGTCTTGAGTGCCATTTGCCAGAGCCTCACTGCTCCGTGAAACATTCTGGGAATTTATTCCCAGCAGTTTCTTCTCTGAGAGCAGGACTGATTTCCTGAATCAGCCTGTGTGTGACAAGCACCCTGAGCAGCCCAGAGCTTCCTGCAAAGCACTTGATTATGCAAAGATTTATCCCAATGCTCAGGTTTAATTAAGGAGAGCCCTCTCAGGGCAGAGGGATTAATGCAGCATGTATTTTTCTTCCTAGAATTACGTTTTCAACATCATATTCAACAGCACCATGGTGCATTCCGTGCCAGTTCTGATGAATATTGTCAGCAACCTCCTCCTGCGCAGTTTGAACGTGACTGAGAGCATCCAGATCTGGAGCAACCCCTTGATTCAGGTGAGCAGTCCCAAAAAATCAGCCTGGAGCACTGGGGAGAGGGCAAAGCATCCCTGAGGGGAGAGGGGGAGGGCAGGAACACCCCAAAAACCCAGGGAAAAGCTGGCTGGGGCTGCCTGCAGGGTTTAGGAGGGTGGGAAAGGTGCTGGCATTTTGCTCTGCAGGTGCAGAAGGGGAGGAAGAAGGGGCTTGGCAGGAGGATGTTGTGTCAGGAATTAAAGGTTCAGTGGGGCTTGGAGCAGCCCAGTCTGGTGGAAGGAACTGGGGCTTGGGATGAGATGATCCCTACAGCTCTTTCCAACTCAAACCATTCCATGCTCCTGTGAATTAATTCATTAATTATGGGTTTGTTGGAGGTTGCCTGCAGTCCTTGGTCTGTGCAGAGCTGGAGGGGCCTTTGGGAGAGGAGAGGACCTGCTGCAGGAGATAAATGCTCTGAAAAGTTCTTTAGTTATTATTTATTCCCCACCTAAATACTCCCAAAACTTCCACAGGTGTTTTTCTTCCTGCTGCAGCTCAGGTGATCTTGACATCCACACACTTTCCATGTTAGCATTCACAGCCATGTTCCAACTCCTAACATAGCTTTTTTTTTTTTTTTGGTCACATTCTGGTACTGAATAAATCTGATTTCTGCCCCAGGATCTCCCAGACACAATTTTCAGGCTGGAGATCTATTTTGAAGCCGTGTTACTGGGGATCATCATCACGGGGATGCCACCCTACTTCGCCATGGACAACGCAGAAAACCACAAGGTAACAGCCAGGTGTCCATGCAGAGAGGCACAGCGAGTTCAAATCCCTGGGATATCTCCTGGGAGAGATCCAAAGAGGGCTTAAAACAATGCCAAGGGTGGCACTTGGCTGGAGCAGATTTGGGAGAAGCTTTTCTGTGCCAAGCCAAGCTTGGCAATAATGGCATAACACAGGAGGGGATTCACAAAACATTAATTTTAATTAACACAAGAGACTGCATTTTTAAGAAAATGCAATTACTTAAGCCAAAAAAATGCAAGAGTAAGAGTGACCTGCTTCAACAACTAGGAGTAACAAAAGTAGAGTGAACAGAAAAAAGTTAAAGAAAGTGTATTAGTACCCTCCATCTTCAAGAAGAAAAAAAATCTCTATTCTCGAGACCCTCAGCCCCAGGGGAGGAGAAAATAAAGAAGACTGTTATCCCCCAAAATAAAAAACTGTTAGACCCTCAGCCCCAAGAGAAATTATTTATTTTCTCTTTAGAAAATAAAAGAAACTGTTGTCCCAAAAATGAGAAACTGTTGTACCCTCATCCCCAAGAGAAAAAATAAAAATAAAAAAGACTGTAGTCCCAAAATAAAAAACTGTTGTTCTTTTAGTCTTTAGCAAAATATCTTTAAAAGAACCCTATCAACAGTTTCAGTCCATAGTAGTGAAAACACTATAACATAAAAGAAAAGCATCACAATAGCAGTTACCCTATGTAACATAAAATCACAAAAAGTTCCAATTGTGTTTCCTGGAAGTCTGTAGTACAAAAAAACCTCCTCAATGTGCTTTTCCCCTGCTGCAGATCAAGGCTTACACCCAGCTGAAGATTGCAGGGCTCTATCCCTCGGCTTACTGGGCTGGCCAGGCTGTGGTGGACCTGCCTCTGTTCTTCTCCATCCTCACCCTGATGATTGGCAGCCTCTTCGCCTTCCACTACGGCGTTTACTTCTACGTGGGCAAGTTCCTGGCTGTGGTGAGGCTGGGCTGGCCTGAGAGCAGGGTTCCCTTGTTTTCTACAAGTCTTTTATTTCCCTCACCTGATTTCAGCTGATTTTCCCCTCATAGATGCACAGGGGAAACGCTGCTGCAACAAAGGAGGTTTTTCATGGGGAAAATGGCTCCAAGTTGGGAGTTTCATTCAGGACTGGAATAAAATCAAGCAGTCCCAGGGGGGGTTTGGGTTGGGCACAGGAAGAATTTCTTCACAGAAAGGGTGGTTGGGACTGGAAGGGGCTGCCTGTGGGCGTGACAGCCTGGTCAGAGAGACAGAAAGCTAAATAAGTTTTCCCAGAATCAACCTGAAATGCTTTAAAGAGCTAAAAATAAACAATGACAACCAAATATTAAAAGCAACCTACAAAAAGTATTTTTCTAATAGTTCTTCTCACAAGATTGTTTACAAATGGGTGCCTTTTTAGATTAACCAATCAAGTGAAATTTATTAATTAAAAATCAAGTCCACCTGCAGCAAACTAAGCTATAAAAGAAGAGAGGATGAAAGAAACAAAGTTTTTACCACTTTACCTCCTGACCCAATCTGTCACCTCTGACCCAGCCCAGGGAGGTGCTGGAGTCTCTGTCCCTGGAGGTGTTTAAGGAATGGCCTTTGGTGCCGTGCTTGGCATGGTCACAGGCTGGACTCATCTCAAAGCTCTTTTCCAGCCTCGTTGATGCTTAAACCAGCAGGATTTGCCAAGGAAATGCTCCTTTCTTGCTGCTGGCTGAGGATTGTGCTGGGGTTGGCACCTGCTGCTGGTGACAGGGGCACGGTGACAGTGAGCAGAGCCCATCTCTGCAGAGAGCTGCAGGTGGGACCGAGTGCAGAACAGCACCAGACTTGGTGGCTTTGATCTTCAGAGCAGGCTCCCCTGTGATACTGGCTGGAATTGAGAGGAATCAGCTTTTCCCAGCTGCTTTTCCTGAGTTAATCACGTTTGGGATGTGGCTGCAGGGCTGCTTTTCTACCCTTGTTTGAATTCCTACAAAAATGCCATGGTGGAATTCTTCCTATTTGCCAGAATCTTCAGGTCAGCATTTATGGGAGCCTCTGTTACAAAAAAAAAAAAAAAAAAAAAAAAAAAAAAAAAAAAAAAAAAAAAAAAAAAAAAAAAAAAAAAAAAAAAAAAAAAAGGGAAAGAGTTTAAAGGAAGCTGAAGGGGAGGGAGTTTTTGCCTCTCCACACATTCTTTAATTTGTGTCTTTAATAATACATTCTCTATGCACCAAGGCAGCAAAACACATCACATAAAGTGACAAAGATGAATCCAGAGTTCTGTATCACACTGAGGTAATTCCAGTTGATCCTTATGCAAAAAAAATTCCTGCTGCACATTCCCTGAGAGTCCTTTCCTGTCTCTGCAGATTTTTTGCCTGATTGGTTATGTCCCCTCAGTTGTGCTCTTCACCTACGTGGTCTCCTTCACCTTCAAAAAAGTCCAGAACACGAAGGAATTTTGGTCATTTATATTTTCAGTGGTGAGTGACTTGGCCTGGAGCTGGGATAAGTGGGAAGATTGGTGATTTCCAAAGCCACAGCAAAAAATCCAGGTTGTTTTGTTGAGCTGTGTGTCCCTAGAGCCCAGGAAATGGGAAACTTTACTCACTGCCATATCCTGAGTGATAAAAGCTTTAAGAAAAAGTGCCTTAAATTGATTAACTTATGCTTAGAGAGTCTGTAGTGGATGAAAATGGACTTTTTTTCCCCTTTTCTTTGGTACAGACAGCCTTGCTCTGCACGGTAGTCACTGAAGTGTCCTTTTTCCTGGACCATTACCTGGTGACCACCATCCTGCATTATGTCTTCTCCATCTCCATTCCTATTTATCCCCTTATTGGCTGCCTGATCTGTTTTATAAAGGTAAGGGGACTCCAGGGATCCTTTCCAGAGCCCTTGGAGATGGCTGGGGTTGGATGGGTGTCTTTAGTGTGTCCTCTGGAGCCACTTTTCACATGAAGATGGAGAAAAATCATGTTTTTCCCATTAGATTTGGTTTTAAAATGGGGAAAGCAGCAAGTTTTCCGTGACATTTCCTTTCTCTGAGAGGTACGAGAAAGATAGAGAAGGACTTTCACAAGGGATGGAGGGACAGGACAAGGGGGAATGGCTCCAAGCTGATAAGAGTAGGGTTAGATTGGATTTTGGGGAATAATTCCTCCCTGTGAGGATGGGCACACCCTGGCACAGGGTGCCCAGAGCAGCTGTGGCTGCCCCTGGATCCCTGGCAGTGCCCAAAGCCAGGCTGGATGGGGCTGGGAGCAACAGGGGATGGAATGAGAGGGGCTTTGAGATCCCAAACCATTCCAAGATTCTGGGATATTCCAAGGAAAACCTCAGCGAGCAAAGCCAGGGGTGGGACAAGGGTTCACTGGGAGTGGGTGGCTGGAAAGCAGGAGCAGCTCCAGGTTTGGATGGAGCTGTTTGATTTGGTTTTTTGGAGAGCTCAGGAAGTGCTTGAGCACCTCAGCCTGAAGGAGATGAAAGCACAGCGTAGGAAATGGAGTCTCTGCAGTGATTATTTCCCTGAATAATAATAATAATAAAATGATAATAATGATAATAATTCAGGCTTTTCCCTGAATTCCCAGGTCTCGTGGAAAGGCAAGAGTGTGAGTGCAGGGTACCAGGACCCCTGGGACCGGCTGCTGGTGGCAGTTCTGGCTGTGAGCATGGCTTTGCATTCTCTGGTTTTGGAAATCCACTCCCTGGGGTTCCTGCTGGCATCCTGCTGTCCCTCACCTTCCTCAGGAAAGATTGGCTCTGGTGCTGAGCCTGCAGCACAGGCAGAGTCAGGAAAACTGCTGTGCCACCAGCTCATTCCTCCCCTGTGGCCTGAGCAGCACTGCCAGCGTTAATTCTGATTATTCTGGGAATCCCTGCTGGTGGAGCAAGAGCTCCAGAGCAGGGCCAGCCCCTTCTCTGCACAAAAACCCCAAATAATTGCTTTTTAATCTAAACCCACTTTGTGCATCCTCAGACAGACTGAGCAGCACATAATGATATATTTAATTTTCTTGGCAGCACCACCACTCCAAAATAGCAAAAAATATATCAAAACAACAATTTGCACAAGAGTCTAATATCACAAACAAAACAAAAATTAAAAAAAATTACAAAACAAAAACTTTAATATAATAAACATAAACAATATTATATTACCAATAACTCACAATCCACAAACTACAAACAAAAAATAAAAAAACGAAACTATAAAATGATAAAAAACTTAAAAACAACAATACAAAAAATAAACTAAATTCTAATTAATTTAAACAATTACTAAAAAATACATTTAAAATATATAATTTAACACCACGTAATCTTAAATACCTCATTTCAATAATTTTCACTAAATCACAAATTTTTATATAAAAAACAAAATTAAAAAAACTCTTAAAAACTCAAAAACAAATATCAGAAAAAAAAAATACAACCATCTCCATAACACAAATAACAAATAAACCCCTAAAACCAAATAATAATACAAAACAACAAATTAAACAACTACCACAAAATATATATTAACTAACATCAGAAATACGACACACAATACAATTTTACAAACTGCATCAACAAAAACACCTAAAAACATCTACACAAAAATCAAACCAAAACCTTCAAAACCTTCACTTCATTCCTTAAACACCTCACGCAAACAATAAACAAACAAATAGAAAAAACAACAAAACCACATTTAATTCAAAGTTTTACATTTACAAATACCAACAAAAGATACAAACAAATCATCAGCATACCACCTAATCAACCCCCATTTAAAACAAATGATAAAAACCTACAACAGAAATAACACACTATATCAATTCAAACCAAACATCTTAAAAAAACCCAACTTGTGTGGTGGTGCAGGGCTGGAGCTCCTGGGCCTCGTCGCTCAGGTGGGGTCACCCCAGGGTGCCCAGCCTGGCTGGTGACCTGGGGGGTTTCTGTCTGCCCCAGCCCTACCTGCAGTGCGTGCTGTGGCTGTTCCTGCTGCGCTGCTTCGAGCTGAAGAACGGAGGCAGGACGGTGAGAGAAGATCCCTTCTTCAGGTGTGTGGGAACCCAGGGCTCCCCTCGGGCTCCCTGTCAGGGGTCAGGAACCCCCTGGACAGAGCCCCCAGAGACACTGGCTGTGATCTCTGTCCATGGAAAAGAGTTTTCAATCTCACAGCATGAATTACCAGCTCTGAGTGTTTGATATCAGGAATAATTAAGTGTGGCACAGGTGCAAAAGTAAAATTTTAGGATTCTAGATGAGGGGTTCAAAGGAGACAAAATAGAAGAAATTAAGTGTGCCTTGTCCTTTTTCTCCTTCTTCATGCCCTCCATGTCTCACTGTGGTGTTGGCATTTTTCTGTTGGTTCAGGCTGGGGACACACTGTCCAACGTAGGTGACAGATATTGGCACGTTATTGTAAATGCAGCCCAGGGAGTTTCTGGTATTTAATGTTTGTCACATCCCACTGAGGGCAGAGCCCCACACGCTGCCCTGCAGGACAGAGCTGGGCAGGGCAGCAGAACATGAGAGAGATAAACAGAATAAACAACCTGGAACCAGCACAGACCAATTCTGGCTTCTGCTTTGGCAGTGGGGCTGACAGACAGAGACTTTCTCCAATCTCGGGATCATCAATACCTCAGATTCCAACACAAGTGTGTCTCCTGATTGGTTTTTATCCAAGGCATTGTCTGAAGAAACTGGTTTTGGAGGTGCTGGTTAAACTGGGCTGTGCAGTGGGAGAAATAAAATACCTTTCATTATATCCCATCAGGAATTGTCACTGAAGTGCAGAAATTTGGAGTTTAATTTCCTCTCAAGTTCCATCACTGCAAAATCAGGAATTTTGTAAGGGTGTTCCCTATGTGAAAACAAGGGAATTGCCATTCCCAGTGCAGGGCCAGGGATCCTGCACCCCACAAAGAGCTCAGCAGGGAGGTGACACAGTGGCAGTCCCCGAGCTCCTCCTGCTCTGGGAATGCACGTGAGCACCAAAGCTGAGAGCTGAGCAGGGGCCTCGTGCTGCTTTCCTCCCTTTTAGGAAATGTTTCACCAAAGCCAAGCCCTGGAAGTTCCCAGATGTGCCCCACGAGGGGAGCGAGGACGAGGACGTGAGGGCAGAGAGGCTGCGAGTCCGAGAGATCCTGAGCAGCCCCAGGAGTGAGGAGGTAAAACCTTGCCCTGCCCAAACCCCAGACTGGGAGTTTGGAGGCTCCCCAGAGCTGCTGGGACCTGCAGCCACTTCCCTCTTCTCTGCCAGATGCCAGCAATCCTGGTCAGCAGCCTGCACAAAGAGTTTGATGAAAGGAAGGAATTTCTTCCGGGCAGAAAAATAAAGAAAGTGGCGACCAAACATGTTTCCCTCTGTGTGAAGAAAGGTTGGAGTTCAGCTGCTTGCTGTTGAGCTGTTTTATGTTTGACAACAGCTCTTGGAACCATTTATCTGATCTCGTGGGTAATGTTTGTGTTGTCCCTTTTTCAGGAGAAATCCTGGGTTTGTTGGGACCCAATGGAGCTGGGAAAAGCACATTAATTAATATGCTTGTTGGAGAGATTGAGCCAACCAGTGGGCAGGTATGTTCCATGCCACAGTTAGGCAAAAAATCAACCCATATTTCAATTTTATTGTAATTACTGCAAGCACTCCTGAGAGCATTTTGCTAAAACCATGCAAAAAGAGTTTGGAAATTTGTAATATTCTGGATTAAGGTCTGGGCATTTTCCTCGCAGGTTCTGATGGGAGATGATTCCTTGGGGCTGAGCAGTGAGGAGGATTCAGTGAAATTCGTGGGGTACTGTCCTCAAACAAATCCTCTCTGGCCAGATATCACATTGCAGGAGCACTTTGAGATTTATGGTGCCATCAAAGGCATGAGCCAGTCTGATGTTCAAGAGGTCATCAAGCGGTGAGTAGTTCATTACAGAAATCTTTGTGGTTGAACTGAAGTTGCCTTAGCTTTTCTTATCTTCTGGCTTATTGCTGAAGGGATTTTGGTGCTTATTTGGTGGTTTTTTTTTTTCTTCTCACTTTTCCTAATGCAGTTTTTGTTTCCATTTAAGGTTGGTTTTAAGCTTGGTTGAAATTCTGTTGTGAATTCATAGATGAGGAGATGAAGGTTCATCCACACAAAATTCAGTTGGGATTTTTAATTTTGATAGATGCTTTTTTGAGTTATTTTTCTCAGGTGATAAAGTACTAACAGTGACCTTTGTAGAAGCTGCAGGGATGGGGAATCCTGAGCTTGGAGCTGTTTCTGTTGTCACCGAGGTTCCTCCAGGACGGGTGGCTTTGTATGGAAGCTCCAATTCTGCTTTTTGCTCTGCTTTTTTTTATACTTGATACACAAATATTTGTAACCGAGCTCTTCCAAAAGGAGCTGTTTTGCATTCTCTGGTGAGGGGGAAGCCAAACCATCCCCCTCCCAGCCTTTCCCACCTGGTCCTTCCCTCCCCAGCATCGCCAGCGTGCTGGATTTAAAGGACCACCTGCAGAAGACGACGAAGAAGTTGGGAATGGGGCTGAAACGCAAGGTATGGGGGGCTCTGGGGTCACCTGGAGGGTCCCCAGCACCCTCCCTGTCCTCACCCTGCCCCTGTGCCTTCCCCCAGCTCTGCTTTGCCCTCAGCATGCTGGGCAACCCGCGGGTGACGCTGCTGGACGAGCCCTCCACCGGGATGGACCCCAAGGCCAAGCAGCACATGTGGTGAGTGCTGGCCATGGCTCAGGGGCCAGCCTGCCCTGGGGGGAGCCAGCCCTGCTCAGTTACCCCTCCCTGTGAGCCACAGCCAGGGAAAAACACAGCGGGTCGGCTTGGGTTGGAAGGGACCATGAGCATCATCCAGTTCCACCCCCCTCTGTGGGCAGGGATATCCTCCACTAAAGCAGAATAATTCCTTCCCAATCTCCCATCCATCCCTTCCTTCTGGCAGTGGAAGCCATTCCCTGTGTCCTGTCCCTCCATCCCTTGTCCCAGGTGCCTCTCCAGCTCTCCTGGAGCCCCTTGAGGCCCTGGGAGGGGCTCTGAGCTCTCCCCAGAGCTTCTCTTGGGATGAACAGCCCCAACACTCAGCCTGCGTCCATAGCAGAAGTGCTCCAGCTCTTGGAGCATCTCCATGGCCTCCATGGACTCGCTCCAGCTGCTCCTCCTGTGTTGGGAGCCCCAGGGCTGGGCACAGGACTGCAGGTGGGGTCTCACAAGAAGGGGAGCCTCAGCCCAACTGTGTGCCAGATGCAGCACAGCTGTGTCCCCTCCCAGAGCAGCTTGGGAATCACAGGACTGAAGGTTAAAAGAGATCCTTAAAATATATAAGGAATACAGATTCGAGCTGTCTTTAGGAAATTCAGGTGTTGATTGTTGCTGTGGGAGGAGCATTAAACCATAAATAGAGGGTCCATCACAGCCCTCCTTTCCTGCTGAGGCAGGATTTGCAGTTCCCTGCCAGGTGCTTTTGTTCAGGGGGGGTCTGGGTTGTGTTTTGCAGGCGGGCGATCCGAGCAGCCTTTAAGAACAAGGAGAGAGCAGCAATCCTGACCACGCACTACATGGAGGAGGCAGATGCTGTCTGTGACCGTGTGGCCATCCTGGTGTCAGGGCAGCTCAGGTACCCCCAGATCCCTCCTGGGACAGGGAGCACAGGCAGCTGGCACCTGGGATATATTTCTGTGAAAACACAGATAAATTTGGTGCCTTAAATCTGGTACCTTAAATTAATCCTTAGCAGCAAAAAGGATCTGTTTGAGGTTAGGCTGTTCCTGAGTACAACATTTTCTGTCTGTAATTTATAGGTGTATAGGTACTGTCCAACACCTGAAGAGCAAGTTTGGCAGAGGATACTTCTTGGAAATGAAATTAGGGGAAGCAGCAGATGTGCAGCAGGTGGAGTATCTGCAGAACCAGATTTTGCACATCTTCCCCAACGCCAGCCGCCAGGAAAGGTGAGGTGTGCCAGATACCCAGAAAAGATCGATGTGCATCAAACCCTCTGATTTCACAGCAGCTCCTTGGCACCGGGGAAGGAATGTAAATATTTACACACAGCTTTAAAAAAAAATGAAGAATAAAAAAAGGAAGGGATCTGGAAGGCAGCAGAGCCCAGGCTGGCAGGGCGGGGGCCGGCAGCCCACGCAGATGTTTGGCACAGAGGAAGCAGAACTGGATTTCTGCATAGCTGTTGCCTGACAGCTTCCTCCTGAGTCAGGGCCCCAGGGAAAGGGCTGAAATCCGAGTCTGACTCACTGCCCTTACCTGGAAATGCCTGAGGCCTCTGGGGGTCTCAGCTCCAGGGTGGGCTGGCTGCTGTTCCACCAGCAGCTCTGAGCTCGTGCCAGAGGGTTTGGCTGCGGGGCTGGAGAGCTCCTCAAAGGGCACTGCAGGCATCCAGAGGAGCGTGGTCCTGGAGGGATCATGAGTGTGAGCCTTCCTCAAACGTGGGAGATGGGAAGGAGGGAGGCAGAGAGGGAGGGGAGTTCCCTGTGCAGGGCAGAGCAGCTCCCTGTGCTGCAGTCGGGGTTGCAGGAACGGCTGCATGATGCAAACTTCCAGGATGTGCAAACTTCCAGGATGTGCAGACTTCCAGAACGTGCTGGGACCTCCCAGCTCAGCTGAAATCCAAAACCTCAGGACTCTGGGAGCTCCAGGGAGCAAATCTGCCATGAGTAAGCAGAATAGAAATGATTTAATCTGAGTGGTGCAGAGTGAACTTAGAGCAGTCTCAGGTGGTCTCAGCTGATGCACCTGGAGCTGAATCACTGCCCTTCTCCTGTGGGATGGTGACAGTCAGAATGCCTGCAGTAACCTTCAGAAAAGGAGTTTAAATCCATTCCATGGGGTATTGATACTTTTACTTGGAGTGATTTTGCTTGAAGCTAAATTTGTTTTGCTTCTTTGTTCCAGTTTTGCTTCTATCTTGGCGTATAAAATTCCTAAAGAAGATGTACAGTCACTTTCACATTCTTTTTCCAAGCTGGAGGAAGGTAATGAAGCACTTACCATGCATCACACACACCAATCCTTTTGTCTCCCATTACTGACACTTCTGCCATGTGATGTCACTCCTGCATTTCTGTTCCAAATTTATTTAACTTAGTTTTATTTTATTGGTGTTTGTCCCCAACTCTGTTTCTTGGGAAACCAAGAGTAAGTGAAGTGTCCCTAAATCTGCTCTTATTGATTCTTTCACCAGTAAAACACACCTTCAACATCGAGGAGTACAGCTTTTCTCAAGCAACACTGGAACAGGTGGGTTAAATTCTGCTTTGTGAGTGTAAACCCTGCCAGGTGAAGGTGTCAGAGGGCAGGGGTAGATGGGATATTTGGAAGGAATTCCTCCCTGTGAGGGTGGGGAAGAGCTGGGATGGAATTCCCAGAGATGCTGCGACTGCCCCATCCCTGGAAGTGTCCAAGGCCAGGTGGGACAGGATGAGCTCAGCTCTGAGGTCCCTTCCAACCCAGAGCATTCCATGGTCCATAATGGTGAGCCCTTGCAGGCAGCTCATCCCCCAGGCTCTGCTCTCAGGCCACTGGGGCTGCTTGCTGAGGCTGTTGGGGCATTTTTGGGAAAGTAAATTCCCTTTCTGCAAAGTGAATCACATCTGCCAGCTCTCCAGTTCCTCCTTATTCCCGTTTTCCCTCTAAGATGCCGACTGCAGTGACTGGAAGAGAGCAAATGCGTGGTATTAGTGGAAAAGCTGCTCTGATTAATTCCTAGAACAGACATTTGCTGTTTGTAGCTGGAAGGAGGGTGAAGCTCAGACTTGTAATTGCTTATTGTGGATTAATTATTGCTGACAATTAATGTCCTTCAGTGTTGAGCTTGTGCTCTTGAAGAAAAGAGGTGGGAGGGTAGGAGTAAGGAGGAAAACCTCAAAATACTAAAAATACTAAAAGTGTCTTACTCAGAGATGAAGCAATACATTGAGTACTCATGAGGATTTTAGCATGAGTTGTATTAGTGGCCAAGGAAGTTCCTACAAGGAGGATGGTGTCTTCCCCGTGTTTTCCAGGTGTTTGTGGAGCTGGCTAAAGAGCAGGAGGAGGAGGACAGCAGCTTTGGCACCCTGAACAGCAGCCTGTGGTGGGAGAGGACGCAGGAGGACCGAGTCATTTTCTGAGCTCCTCGTGCTCCTGTGGGTGCCAGCACCAATCCTCCCTCTGCTCCTGGAGCTGGGGTGGGCAAGGCCAGCTGGGTTTGGGGGCCCTGAGCGTGTCCCATCGTCCTGGCCTTGGAAATAACGCCGCAGGAGCCGTGAGCATCCCACTGCTCCTCTGGCTGACCCTGAATCCTCCTCCCCTCGCTGCCCCCGGGTTCTGCTGGGCAGGAGGGCACTGCCACAGCATCTCCTGGGGCTGGGGCTGGGGCTGGAGCTCCCACCTGGCTCTGCTGGGCAGGAGGGCACTGCCA